GTCCCATCATCCCTTGCCAGCATGAGTCATGGAGTGAGCTAGTAGGTGCAGAGACCGCTGGGTACAGAGGAGTGTCTGTAGCTGTGACCTGGTGATTCAGATGCATTTCCAAATTTGAGGGACCTTAAAGGGTTCAGAGAGATTGTATCAAACCCAGGTTTCTAATTTGCAAACCAGGATTTGGGTGTCATGCTAAGCTTCTTTAACGACGGTATCTTGTTTTGCCTAAGTGGAAACAGTATTTGCCTCTCTTATGCACCACACTGAAGCTTTGATGTCATTTTTCATAACGGTACTGTATAACTTCATCTTGCCCTAGCTGTTTTCTTACCATTCCATTTTCTTTCTTGATGAAGAAAGGGTGGATTTTTTGTGGATCTCTTTGTAAGAGTGTCAAATCAGGTTGCAGTGAACATGTACAAGCAACTAGGCTACAGCGTGTACAGAACAGTGTTAGAATACTACTCAGCCAGCAGTGGGGAACCGGATGAAGATGCTTATGGTAAGTGTTTGGATTTTTAGAAGTAAAGGACATTTGGGCTCAACATGACAATGACATAAATTCCCATTTTTTATAATGTCTTTGTCTCTGTTTTTTAAAATCGTTACATGCAAAAAACCAGAAAAAATCCCCCCCAAATCCTACATCTTTATATTTTGATAAATAGCCTTACATATATATTTTGTGCACTGTATTACAATATTGTTAAATTATAAACAGTTAAGTTAGTACAGGGGAGATCTGTGTATGCACTTTTATCTGTAATCCAAATTTCCAGAAAGACAACCAAATGGGACTCACAGGGGTAGAACAGATACAGAAAAAAAAAATGAGCTTGTCAGAGCACTGCATAATTGGTGGAAAATGGATAATAACAGCATGCAATATCCAATTTTATTCCGGATGTTATATTTTCAGCTCTACTCCTGTAACTCTTGGTAGAATTCACCAGTAGCTTTCTAAAGACATATAGGAATGGTGACATTTATTTATTATTTATACACACACACACATACAAGTAGTCCTCAGTTAACAGCGGTAATTGGGGTGGCAACTCCGTTGCTAAGTGACACCATTGTAAAGTGCAACATCACATGACCACACCAAATTATGGCAGTTCTGGCAGTTCCAGTTGCCATCGTTAGGCGAACCCCGTGTGGTCATGTGATCGCCATTTGCAACCTGCTGGCTTCCCCATTGACTGTAGGAATCTGGTAGGGAATGGTGATCACGTGACTGTGGGGACGCTGCGATGGCTGCAACTTCAAGGACTGGCTGTAAGTCTCCTTGTTCAGCACTGTCATTGAACGAATGGTTGCTAAGTGAGGACTATCTATTAATCTAATTGATTTTAACTGTTTTGTAAACCACCCAGAGTCATTTCAACAAGATGGGCAGTGACAAATTTGACATTTTTTTTTTTTTTTAATC